AAACTGGCCGTGCCGCGTAGCACGCGAGCATTCTACCACTGAACCACCGATGCACCAAACTGTGGAGGTCGTCCAGTGGTTTTTCTAATAACAAGGCAAGAACAAGAACAATGAATGCTAGAAAGCTCTTTATAGTTAGTAAACGTAACCCACGTATGGTCGACGTGGACGATTCGAGGAAGAATGATTCCCGTAGCTGACGAGTAACAGTTTGACCCCCATCAGCTATAGGGCGGACTTACAAAGGATCGTCGTCAGAGACGACGACAAGTTGGGGAAATGGTCAAGGAGTGTCCATGGTTCCGACTGAATAGCCCGGTCTCAACCAACGGTGATCCGCATGTCTCGAATGGGTTAAAGGAGAACCGCTGAAGACTGAACATGGCAACTGCATTCCTAGTGAGCAAAACCTGGTCATAGGAGGAGGAAAACGATGACATTCAGCTTGAGCATCCCTTTACTTGAATATTTATGAACACACTTAAAAGTAGTCCTCTATGAGAGAGAGGGCTGTAACGAATGATAGCCATTCTAATCAATGCTGCGCTTTCGCAATCCATAAGCCATTCAGTCAGTTTGGTAATATTTAACTATTGAAACAGCTGCTTCCACCCCCACGAAACCTCTACTCTAATTGTGGAGCCGCACAGGGCAAGGGACAGAAAAGAAGAGATTTTTGTTCCGACTAGTCCCATCATTTTACGTAAAATTAAGAAGGTATAAAAACCAGTACAAATTTTGCACAACTGTCACGAATCCTTGCGGCACGTTATTAGCAGCTGCTGTTTGGAGGGGTTTTACACATCAAAATTTAATGCTGGGTTCATCACATAACACTCTACGTGGGACGTTTTGCACTCGGAATATTAACATATGTTCCCACAAAGAAAACAATATTGGAAATTTAGAAACACGATTGGGTTATGAAATATTTCTAATTATGAATATGGCGCGACTTTTGGCAACAGTATTTTATCGAGCAGAACAGAACAGTAAAGCATTTCACAATCACCTGGTGCCACGATTCCCTGTGGACACTTCCTAAATAAGCTAGTTACCTAAAGAAAGTGTCACTGTCAAATGGCAGGGAAGACGACCGTGGATTGATCAGCGTTAATGGCACTATTTACCCTTTGTTGCCCCAGTCATCCGAAATCAGGCCAGTTCCTGACCGACTTTTTTCTCCGTGGGCAGAATTTACTTGGCTCCAGGGGTAGTTTGACCCGCTGAACACGAATATCGCATCCGCTTAACCCGAAACCTCCTGGCGCCCGCGCCACGGGCGCCGGCGCCAAAATACTCGAAATCACCAAATTCGCTGAAAACTTGTCAACTGGGGTAACTTGACCTCGTGAACACGAATATCACATTTATCTTGCATGAGAAATAGTATTCGCTTCTCTTTGTGGCCTTAAAGAGGGCCGTTGGGTTAGTATTAATCTGGGATTTGGTAGATCATCAATCTATTCTTGAATCAATTCTTGTATTTGGTAGGTAGCGCAGGCGCCAGGAGGTTTGGGCCGAGCGGATGTGATATTCGTGTTCAGGGGGTCAAACTACCCCTGGGAGCAAGTTTTCAGCGAATTTGGTGATTTCGAGTATTTTGGCGCCGGCGCCCGTGGCGCGGGCGCCAGGTTTGGGTCAAGCGGATGCGATATTCGTGTTCAGCGGGTCGAACTACCCCTGGAGCCAAGTTTTCAGCAAATTCTGCCCACGGAGAAAAGTCGGTCAGGAACTGGCCTGATTTCGGATGACTGGGGCAGTAAAGAGGTGAATAGTGCCGCGTTAATTAATCCTTACTTTGTGTGCAAAGAGTCTCCCTTCCTTTCAACATCGTGATGGTATTCTAGGGCTGATGCCGTTTGGACGCGCTTAATTTTAGCTTCTGGCTCATTTATGAAGTGCCTTGGTCACCAAATCTGATGGAAACGTGTATACAGGGGTAATTAAACATCCTGATTACGAATATGACACTCATTCTTGGCGCTGGCGCTAATGGAGGACACTAAGATTATGTTCTTCACCTCAGCAGAGCGCAGATATTCGTGGTGTTCTCCATTAGCGCCAGCGCCAAGAATGTCATATTCGTAATCAGGATGTTAAATTACCCCTGTACAAAAGCTTTCATCGGATCTGGTGACCGAGGCACTTCATAAATGAGCCAGGAGCCAAAATTGAGCGCGTCCCTAACGGCATTAGCCATATGTCTAGTGCTTATTTGATCAACACGTAGAGCTACGGTGTGCTGTCAATTTGTGAACTGGCAATATTGCAATCTTGCTCTCTCAGACGAGCCCACAAGCGAGTTGGCTGAAAAGTTTCGGCTCTTCTTGAAGGTAGCCTCGACCTTTCTTACCATCATACACAATCGCTGTGTGAATCCCAAGCAGATGAAGTCGTAAGTCGTACTACCGATAGGGAAGGGAACAGGAAGGAGGGGGAGGGGAAGGAGAGGGGGGGGGGCGTGAGACGGCACAACACAGATCCGCATTTGCCGTGCGTCGTTCGGCACGCGAGAATCCAGGAACTCCGCTCACTATCGATAGAAATAGCAGTGAACTCGTGAGAAATCGTGCAGTTTTCTTTATTTTTCGCAATATCTCTGCGCATATTGTAAGTGTTTTTTTGGCTTTTTCCTACCCGTCTCTTGCGTCATACGCGGGCAATGTTGGAGCATCAAGGCAACCCTTTCGCAGTTCCTCTATATACTCAAATATTCGCAATGGCTAACCAGATACGTCGTTCTTTCGCCGTGCGGGGTCGCTCGCCACACTTGTCAGCGCCTCTAATTATGATTGCTTACCGGAAAGAAGTCGTGTTTGGCGTGAGGAGAAATAATTTTTGGTTTCTGATTTTACCATGTCAAAGGCACCAATCCCTTCATTCGGCACCAAAACTTTAGGAGAATCCGGGTAAGAAGTGAATTTATTGGGCTCGAGGAGAGCCCCTCTAATTGAGGAAGGTCCTGATAACACCGCCATTTCACGCATTCCGATTGAAAGCTTCTTGCAATCGGACAACAGTTGGATACAGTCCTTGTACAAAGCAGGTTGACACGAAGCAAAATACCTCTTGGCTTCAGCGGGTCTATAGTTCAGCTTTTCCTCTTCATGTAACAGATACTCGAAGATACGACCCGATGTCAGAAAAAAAAACGTCTGGGCTGACCGTGGGAGTAGGGAAGGGAGGGGGGGGGGGGGCGGATCGTGGACTCTTCGGCAGAGCGTTAGTAAGGGGTCGAGCGAGAGTCCTCATAAAGAGCGCAGGTTTCACAAAGATTAAATGGGGCGAGCGATGGCACACTTCACCGCCCAGTGTAATGACATTTGCATCTTCTGTTTAAACAGTGGAGTAAATTACAAGAAGCAGATTCTAGCAGAAATCTGGCGCACATCAAAATGGCCTTGCTTCAAGGCACAAGTTTCGGCTGAGTTTAATTTCCATTCTTCATAGATTGCAGCTCTCAGCTATGAGGGGAGAGGCGTTAACATAAGCGTGCGAATGTTGAATCACTATGCCACCGAGGACGATGGGATCTTTCAGCCTTTGAACCATCTTTCTTATGTAAGGTAGGAAATGGTAGAAGAAAAGTATAAGATGAAACGAGAGAAAATTGAGTACCGACGAGCCATCACCAGTATAACGAACAGGGTATGCTACTCTAGGTGGGCCTATTGACGTTATTAATCAGACAGACGTCATATTAATAATACTATTGACGTATTTTTGGTTGTTCCACTACTCTAAGCCTATCGCTTGCACTGTTTAGCGCACCTATGCGTGCATGATAAATAATAAATAATTGATCTATGCTATAGCCATATCGTAATAGGCAATGGTCATGATCCAATATTAAGCAAAACCCAAACGAAAAATAATCGCAGAACAAATATCACGCGTGTGCGGACATGGCTCAGGTACTGGCCGCCTAGTTACCTACCCGAAAAGGTGATTGTCTCGAATTTCTTGAGCCCAAAATGATCCATGGTACTGTGTAAGTGATACCACATTAACCTTTCTTACTTCAACCACGAACGGACTCGCAAGTACACTCTAAGCCAGCTCGAATGGCCGGACTAGAAAAACACTATCATTGCCTCCATCATAAAAATACAGGGTGAAAAAGACAGCGGATTTAACTGAAGTATTTTCAGAATGCCATTTCCTTTTTGACCTCGCGACAAATTGCAAAACAGAGAATCATGCTGACACTGCTTCCTGAGATAGTGTAGACAAAAGGTGTTTTCTGGCAGTTTTTTTTTTGACGTTTCACTCTCGTTTTCTCGCCATTTTCCCTCCCCCACTATGCCTTGATACCATTTTAGCCCGAATACCAAATAAACGTCCTGATGCCATTAAAGTATGCATTCAGACAGTTCCGTGGGTAGGCTCAGCCCCAGTGAGCACGAGAATGTATCATGCCTACCTGCCAAAATGTGAACAGAGCATATCGTCATTCAAGCAGAGAGTGAGATATATTCATAGAGATTCGGAATCATTTTCCTCCATTCTGCAAAACGATGCATGATGTTTAAAACCAGGTCTGAGTTTAACCAAATTCGCATAGCATAAGACAAAAGATAAAAATAAAATAATTCTGTGGAAAATCAAATGCGAGCGACTATTGAGCAAAATCGAACTCATTGTAATGTCGAGCAGATTGAAGACCGTCCAGTTGGCGTAATGTAACAAAAAACGAGCCCACTCGGGTCTACGTAACTGGTGCACAGGTTGATCAATGGATCATTTTCTGTTGAACCGAGAAACTTTGACAAAATTTAGTGACAGAAGTTGACATAATTTCGATACCACTGGGAACCGTATGCAGTTGAAAGCGTTTGAAAATTCACGACACGCAGTCAAAAAAGCTATAGGGAAGGCAGCTGACAATCGATATCGCATGCTGCAACTATGCTCGACGGTGACAGTATTTGGAAAATAGCACGTCAGCACTTTGTTACACAGCAGCACTCGATATGGATTCGAAAATTACCACAAGGTTATCGAAATTGTAGGTTACCGAACAGCGCTCGATATGAAACACGGAAAAGAAACACTGCGAAAGTCTTACCGCTTTTCTTCTCAATCACGTAGCAAGCACTGTAGAAGTCATGGAATATCGTAGCAAGTTGATAAAGGTAGTCGCATAGCTGAAATAAAGAGACTCCAGAAGAGAGCTTGGTTTCTTTTAATATAAAATGAAGCCGGAAATTCCAAGAGAACAAACCTGATGAAGCATCAGTGAGTCTAATACTTGCAGGATACAGTCAGCCAACTTGAGAATCTGCTTCGCAAGCGTCAACTCCGCAGGATGGGTGATTGGGATGGTCGGATTGCTCGCGATGAAGTCATTGAGATCTTCAGCAGCAACGCCGGATGTCCGCACGATAGATCTGGAGAAATTGAAAGAACAATGTCGCCTCTCACACTTACCAACACTAGCATCAGAAGGCGATTACGTTAACTGGAACTGGTTTTGGAAAAAGTGCTCCGAAGCCAATTCTTATTAACCAGTGCATCAAAACTACACTCTAGTTCGCTGCGGACGGTTGGGCGTGTCAGGCAGTATGAGTGTTCACAGTGTCAAAGCCGTTCTCTGCCTTCTTGTTGAAGCGCGCATGCGACAAAAAGTGGTAGAAAACCAGTTATAACGATATGATACAGTCTTGCTCACTTGCTCGCTTTAACAACTGGTGGAGAACGGGTTTGGCACCGCGCCAAACTCATCCCGCCTGACACGCCCAACCGTCCGCAGCGAACTACACTATACTTGAGAAGAACGGGTTTGGCACCGCGCCAAACTCGCCCCGCCTGACACGCCCAACCATCCGCAGCGAACTACACTATACTTGAGAACCATACTCCAACCTTATTCTGGCGTACGCATACAGCAGGTAAACGGCGGTGTTCCCCTTGTCATCAAGCATCCGATCAAATGAAAAAACATAGTCCTGCGTCCGTGTATGAGATAGATCAGCGTATTTGATGCAACCATAGGCTACAGCGTCACGAGCAGCAGCAAGCT